CAATAAAAATTTCCAATTTAATTGATCAAAAGCTTTCTCCGCATCTATAAATATTAAGGCAGCAGGAATTTGATTATTCTTATCCAAATATTCTATTATATTAACCAATTGTCTTACATTATTTTTCATGTATCTTCCCGTTATAAATCCCGATTGATCAGTATGAATCAGTTGTTTCAAAACCTGGATTAATCTATTTGCCAAAATCTTTGCAAAAATCTTATAGTCCGTATTTAACAAAGATATAGGCCTATAATTTCTAGGCTGGGACAAGTCCTGATCATCCTTTGGAATCAATGATATGAAGGCCCTTTTCCAGGATGGAGGTAACTCTGCTCCCAGCAAAATGTCATTAAAAAGTTCCTTCAATGGTTCTATCATTTCTTCCAATAGCATCTTGTAATAAATTGCAGTTAGTCCATCAGTACCTGGCGTCTTACTAACCTTTAATTGTTTAATTGCAGAGGTAATCTCTTCAGCAGTAATTGCAGCATTAATTCCATCACGCTGATCAGTCGTAAGTCTGGGAAAATTGGCTTGTTGTAAATAATTTTCTACATCTGAGATTTGTATAGCTTCACTAATATATAACTTAGAATAAAAATCTAAAAAAGCCTTTTTAATCAAATTTTGTTGATACACCTGTTTGCCTTTATAACATATTTTGTTTATAATCCTTGATTTCTGCTTCTTACGTAATTGATAAGCCAACCATCTACCAGGTTTATTTGCATTACAAAATGTATTATACTTCATGTACCTCAAATTAATTGCCATCTGATCCGCTATTAACATATTAAATTGTTCCTTAAGCAGAGTTATAGAAGCTTTCAAATTATTATCCATTGGATTTGATAATAAAATCTTTTCCTTACATTTAATCTCATCTTCCAACTCTTTACGCTTCTCAGTTTGTTTACGTCTATGAGCATTATTCATAGAGATCAAAATCCCTCGTATGTATGCTTTACTGGAATCCCAAACCATTGGCATCGAGGTGCCCTTATTCATATTCCAAGAGAAAAATTCTTTTAAATAACCTCTACATTTCTGTATATTCTCTTCATATCTAAATAAATTCTCATTTAACCTCCAAGACCTTCTAGACCCTTTATCCAAAGAAATTTGCAACCATATAGGACTATGATCTGAAAAAAATTCTAGAAAATATCTTACTATTCTTCACTCTGAAAGAAAAGTCATTAGTAACTAGAAAAAAAATCAATTCTAGAATAAGATTGATGCCTGTCTGAAAAAAAGGTGAAATCTTTTTCCTGAGGGTTACGTTCTCTCCAAATATCTCTGAGTTCCAAATCTTCCTTTAAATCAAAAAAAGTTTTCAGAAGTCTAGTTACACACTTTAAAGTCTGGTTACACACTTTAAAAGAACCCTTCTTATCTTTGCTTGGATCCAAAACACCATTCCAATCTCCCATCATAATAACCGATTTATAATCCAAAGAAATTAATTTCTGATGAATCATCTTGTAAAAATGTTTTTGTTGTTGATTGGGAGCATATAGTCCAACAAGAAGAGTTCTATTATCATTTATTAAAAGATCAATAATAACATATCTGCCTTGTAAGTCCAAGTCAATTAATTTTGGTGAAAGCTCTTTTCTTACATATATAAGTACACCTCCTTTTTTCTGCAATGCAGGAGCTATAAAATGTACCCCAAGCCGAAGTTTAAACAAGTATTTTTGATCTTTGGAGATAATATGAGTCTCTTACAAACAAATAATATCATTTTTATGTTGTTTCAAATAGTAAAAAACTTTATTTCTTTTCTGTGGAGTGTTTAGCCTGTTAACATTCCAGGTTAGAAGCTTTGCCATTCTTGGCAGCGGTTGCCATGTTTTATTGTGTCCTTAGCTATATGGGCTTCTTAGCCTTTGCTAGTTTTATTGTAGCTTCCTTTGCAAGGAATCTGCATGATAGCTTTATTGAGGCTAAATTCATTACATTCAGCTTGTTTGTGTTTTGTAGTGTTTGGGCTTCCTTTGTTCCCGCTTACTTGAGCACCAAAGGGAAATACATGGTTGCTGTAGAAATCTTTTGCATTTTGGCCTCTGGTGCAGGACTACTGGGTTGTGTCTTTTTTCCAAAGCATTATATTATAATTGTGAAACCTGGACTTAATTGCAAAGATCATTTGATAAGAAAACTTAATTAAACTAGATATTATTATTTTTATTTACTTCCCTCTTTCATTTGTAATTATTTTTAGTATTGTTTTTCTTATATTTTTCATAAAACACAGTATCTAATAAAGTCTCTTTATTAGTTTACTATTGAAAACAACCTATACCCATGTTTTAAATAAAACAATATATTATAAAAGCAAAAACATTGTATAGTAAACTTCCAACATGTTATTTGCTGAAATGTATAACGAAGATTCCTCTGACAGCCTATCTCATGGACTCAAATACAACCATAACTCACATTCATATGGTGCAATGATAATGTAAATGTGATTACATGTAATTCTCACTTACCAACTGCAATTAGGACTGGCAACTCTGTCACTAAGTGGGCAGTCATAAAGTGTCCATGTCTCATTTACAACTTCAGTTCTGGCTATGGAAGTTAGCAAATCACCTATAGTCATTAAGCACAAAGTCACATGACCATGACTAGTAAAGTACTGCTGGCTTCCTTATTTATTTTGCTTGTTGGAAGTCAGCTCTTACAGTCACAAATAGTAATCTTGTCACTACATGACTTTGTAGCCAATATAAATGCATAATGCACAATGATTGTCCAATTCCTAAAACTTGTTCACTAACAGCAGAGATACCACAATGGCCGCAACTTCAAAGGCCAGTCATTAAGTCTCCTTTTTCAAAACTATTGTAATTTTGAATGTGTGGTTGATAAGTTAGGACTATCTTCAACAACAGCCTAATGATAGATTTGTCACCTCAAACTAGTGGACAACTACATTTAAAGGAGAAAATGTAGAATGAAACTGCTCCCCAGTAAAGCACACAATAATCAAGCCATTCTTCCTTCCCCACTAAACACATAAAAATTGCTGATAAAACTGACTACTGCAGTTCCTACAGAGAATCAAAATGATGGTCTCAACATTTGCTGAAATTCTAACAGATTATAAATTTAATATGAAATCTGATAAATACATCACAGAAACAAAACTATCAGAGAGCAGTAGTTTTAATAGAGCTTTCAGGTAAACATTTGCAGATGCAATAAAGTCAGAGAAATGAGCCTGCCCTGGTGCCTTTATTGCAAAAGCGTATTGCCTGAACATGGAGTCATATCTTTGATCATATCTACTCTTTGTGTATGGCATTACTCCTCTAGGATTATAAAGATCTGTGATTAGTGGGAAGATAGTTGTGTGAAATTCATCCACAGCCCTGATCATCTCCTTAGTTTAAAAGGCAATAAAATGTTGCATGACATAGAATGTCAGAAAAGCTACCAAGACTCTCTTGATCCAATATAACCTAGAGCATCTAGGATATATTGGTTTCTGTCTAAATATCAGTGATTCACGTGTATACATCACAAGAGCATCAAAATTTATGATGAACTCAGGATTAGTTCAAGTATTACAGTTCCTTATTTTTTTCATGGGAAGAAGATGGAGTTTCTGGCCCACAATTTAAGAATTGGTATCTATCCACAGGATAGACAGAACTGAAACTAGAGAATCTTATTTTGATGGCAGTGCCACTCTTTAACAAAGTATGCGTGTAGCAATAGAAATCTGGTTTTACTTTCTTTATTAATAGAACAAGTTTTTATTTCAATTTATTTTATAGATGTCTTTTAAAAATGTACCATGTTTCCCTGAAAATAAGACCAGATCTCTCTTTTTTTGCCTCCAAAAGAAGCACCAGATCTTTTTTTGGGAGGGATGGGCTTTCCCACTCACTTCCATCACCATCAATCCCACACAGCTGGTCCACGTCTGTGACCAAAGGAGCAGTTTCATTCTGCAGCTACATTTTGGCCTGCATTTCATAGTCAGGCCTTTCTGGAAGGCCTCTACAGCTGAATACTGAGCTATGGATTCAATGTATTCATAAGCAAAGACCCCAGAATAGCTTTTCATCAGATATAGTTTGTTATTCTTAATTTGTATAGTTAATTAGAGTCTAATCAATCTGGTTTAAGTCCTGATGCTTATATGGACAATCTTGACTCAGCACTTTACAATCTTATCTCTGAGCCCGTTTATTAATATGGATTTAATCCATAGCTGGGTCCTCAGCTGCAGAGGTCTTGCAGAACCGAGCTATGGATTGAATCCATAGCTTGGTTCTTGGCTGCAATGGCCTTTCAGAAAGGCCTATGACTGAGAAATGCAGGCCTGGCTGCAGAAGATGTGTCAGAAGAAGTGGGCTGGCGAGAAGAGGCCTGGGTGCAAGGTAAGTGGGTACGGGGTACTTGGGGCAACTCCATACCCCCACTCCCATCCTAGCTGGATTTTTAGGTGTATGCCTTGCCCCAAAACTATGGTTTATTTTTGGGGTAGGACTTATATCAAGCCCACCCCCAAAAATCAAACTTATTATTGATGTAGCCCTTACTTTTGGGAAAACATGGTAGAAATATTCATTAGATTTTATAAAATATTCTATAACTTATATGGCTATTATTTTTGTAAGCTGGGGAGATAAAGCACTGAATATGGATTTGCATTCTCTGTATGTTCTCTATTCAGGATTCAACAGAAGTGGAGATGTTCACAGAAGTGAAGATGTTCAAATTGCTTTCCAAGAATCTGAGCTGGTAGAAATGCTTGTGAAGTGGAAGTAATTTTATTGAATCATCACTCAGAATCATGTACACAAAATATTCTAAATATTAGTGCAGAAGTAATATTTTTATTATTGTAATTGTTTACAAAAATAAACAAACCCAAACCCTTGATACTATGAATCAAGTTAATGAGGCTATACCTTCCTCACTTCATTTTGGTATATTGGCAAAAAACAAAAAGAAAAATCAAACCGATTGGAGAAGAAAAGTCATGAATAAAATGAATAAATGGGCTCAGAGATAAGATTGTAAAGTGCTGAGTCAAGATTGTTCATATAAGCATAAGGACTTAAACCAGATTCATTAGGCTCTAATTAACTATACCCATTAAGAATAACAAATTAGATCTGGTGAAAAGCTATTCTGGGGTCTTTGCCTGTGAATACATTCACCAAGTTGGAAATTGTACCACCTATTGATGACATTAAAATGCATCATTTTTATATTTGTTGTACCACTAAAAAACAAAGGATAGTATATTGAAGGGCAAGTAGGATAGATATCTGCTTACAGTCAAACAAAAATGTGATTGATAGCTTTCCTCAAAGCTTGCTTTATATCTTTATTCCTCAGACTGTATACAAAAGGATTTATCAGGGGAATCAAAATGGTGTAGAACACAGAGCAGATCTTATTAAGATCTCTAAGGGATCTGTTCTTTGGCAGCACATATACTATCACTATAGTTCCATAAAAGAGTATAACCACAGTGAGATGGGATGAGCAAGTAGAAAATGTTTTCTTCCTTCCTACAGTGGATGGAATCCTTAAAATGTTTTTTACAATGCAGCCATAAGAGATAAGGGTTAAAAGAAAAGGAAGCAATCCAAAGAGAGCTGACAGAATAAATATTAGGAGCTGGATTTTCATGGTGTTGCTGCAGGATACTTGGAGTAGTGGTGTGAAATCACAGAAAAAGTGATCAATTACATTAGGTCCACAAAATACTAGCTGTTTTATTAAATAGGTGGGCACAGAGTTCACAAGAAACCCAATAATCCAAGAGCAACCTGCTAACTGCAGACAGGTTTTCATACTCATAATGGCAACATAATGCAATGGTTTGCATATTGCTAAATACCGATCATAAGACATGGCAGCAAGTAAGTAGCATTCTGCTGTAGCCAATCCCCCAAAGAAATATAACTGTGTGAAACAGGAATTTAATGGCATCAACTTATTTCCAGTTAGGAAGCTGTCAAGCATTCTGGGAAAAATAGTTGAAATATAGCATGTTTCTAAGCAAGATAAATTTATCAGAAATAAATACATTGGAGTGTGAAGGTGATGGTCAGCTACAATTAAGACAACAATAAGAAAGTTCCCTAGCATTGACACAAGATAGATAACTAGAAACATCAGAAAAAGAAGAATTTGAAACTCATAAATATTTCCAAATCCCAGGAGGATGAATTCTTTTATTATTGTTAGATTATTCTCTTCTCTGCCTCCCATGGTTATTCTGTAGGTTACATCAATGAGCTGCAAAGCTTACAGAAAACAAGGATTCCTAATAAAAAACTGATACAAGACCTAAAAGTATTCAGTATAGAATTCAGTATAAAGTATTCAGTATAGTATTCAGTATATGAATGTGCAAGAATATATATATTCTGACATGAGTGATGAGAGGATCAATCGACCGGGCCCCATAACGAGGTCTATGAGCCGTGTGCAGACGCGTTTGTGCCTATAAACGAGCTCTCCCACCCTCTGGCTTTTAACACCCTGACGATGATGGCAGCAATATAGCCATCGAAAGCTAGGTTATTTATTTATTAAACTTTTAATTGTTTTACCTCCTGGTGCTCGTTTTTATCTTTTGAATATGTATACACCCAGGAGACTACGTTCCTCAATTTTTATGTTAATTTTTAATATATATATATATATATATATATATATAATATATATATATATATATATATATATATATATTTTTCTGAGGTTTTCGCGGGTGTTTGTATGTAGGTCTTTGATTGTTCGGGTTTTCTCCCGAACAACGCGGGAGAAAACCCGAACAATCAAAGACCTACACACACACACACACACACACACACACACATATATATATATATATATATATATATATATATATATATATATATATATATACCTATAATAAGCAAGGTCTATGGTCAGTAATTGAATGGTAATCTCCATTACAGTCATCTGATTTACCCAGGATCTTCCCTCTTAGAGTTAAATATAAGATTTATTCATCTTAATTATGTCACCATTCTTCAGATTCTAGCTATGTCTTCTTCTCATATATGCATACTTTTAACCATGGTTATAAGAATTATTGTCACTTATGGCATAAAACTGATTTAATGATCTGGCACATCCTTATTTAAGTTAAGACTTCATTCCAGTTAAAAACATTTTGTTGTCATCATCCTCATCCTTTAAAAAAAAATCTAAGACATATTTACAATAATGTTTTACTGGTGGCAAAAGGTATCAATGCCCATTGACTTTTCAGCTGTTCCCCACAAGGAGCTGCAATCTTCAAAATTTCCTCTCCCTGGTGGTTCCACAGCCATACAAAATTTGTTTTGTATTATTCCTAAGTGCTCACTTTTTAAATCCAGGCAGCAAAACTGCCAAAGAACCAGCTCTGAAAGCAAACAGCAGATTGTGAGTAAGAGAAAGAAAATTCCTTACTCCTCAGCAGCCATCGTCATCCTCATTCTTATTATCTGCTTTGTTCAGACATAATAACCAAATAATGTGCATTAAAAGATGTAAAAAAAGATAAAGAGTACATAGATATATACCCATATAGTTTTACTGGCAATGTCATTGCTTTCTTCTGAGTATTTTCTAATTTCTCATTCTACCTGACAACAGTGGAATTCACTTGTGCTTTCCCATCAAAAAAGCCCAGAATTCATTAACTAGATTCTTGCATGAGACCATTTTAAGATTATCCGTTTTCTTATTGCATTTTACAGCCTCAGATTCTACACAACATTCTATAGGGATTAAAAATAAATACCTGAGATCCAGCTCCATGCGTGTTTAATAAAGTGAACTGAAATGATAAAGCTGTTAAAAATGTCTATCAGATTAGAAATGTTTCACCAAGTATGTTCTAATCCTTAAATCTGAATGTGCAGAATGCAGACTTTTTCCATGAAATCGTAACTGTAAGTAAATTTCTTTTCCTTTCCCCCCCCTCAAATCTACAATATATACCACATTACATTTGAAGAAAAACATAATTTACAACCTGAACCTTAGACTTCATTCAGTCTAAGATTCAAAGCTATATTTAAAGATATGAAAGAAATTTCTCAAGTAGGCAAAATGTTCACAAGCAGTGAGTGTCCATACAGGTTTAAACTGTCCCTATGGTAAATACTAAGTTTTCAACACCAGGGAATTAATTAAAATATTTAACCAAACAAATGAAGAAAGGCTAATGGGAAAAGTTGATAATTTCTAATATCCAAATAAGTGAAATTTATTTATTTCCAGTGACTAAAAATATTGTAATAAGAACTAAATCATGAAATAGGTTTAAATTCTACATAGTAGAATACAGCAGTGGTATATTGTTTTGCTCTAAAATTCAGTAATAAAACAAATTTTGGCCATTCTCTTAAAGAGTGTCATTGATTTAACTGCTAAGGAATAAGAATAAGAACATTTAGTGTCAATTCATAATATGCCTAATTAAGTCATTATGTCAGATCAAAACAAGGAAAGTGGAGAAGGACATGAGCCACTCATTTATGCTCCTTGAGTGGACAAGAATATATACATTTAGTTTTATATTTAACCTGTCTTCTAATAATAATGAAACTAATGCACAGTTCAGTTATAGCTTTGATAAAGCTTCCTTGGAAGAGTTTGAGCTCAAATATTAGTAGAAAAAGTAATAGATTGAAAGATTGGAGACACCTGGCCCATAGAACAACCAAGAGTTGCACATGACTGAATGGATATCATCATCATCATCATCATTTATTTACCCTAATTATTTATGAAAATTTCCAGGAGGGGCATGGAAGCTGAGGATTCTTACTAGATTAATATAAGCTAGGTTTTTAAATGGCAGAGCGGTATTATGCCAGATACCAGCTGTAATGAAGAATTGGAAGGGAATTTTGTGTGTGTGTGTGTGTGTGTGTGTGTGTGAGAGAGAGAGAGAGAGAGAGAGACAGACAGAGAGACAGAGAGACACAGAGAGACAGAGACATAGACACACAGAGATAGATAGAGAGAGAGAGAGAGAGACAGAGACAGAGACAAAGACAGAAACACATAGAGAGAGTACATGTTATATTGAGGCAAACAAATAAGATTTTTGACTGAAAAGCTTTAGTAGGGTACATATGATATTTGTCAAACAGTGTGCTGTAACTTAACCAACACACAACCTTTTTACTTTAATATTTTTCAAATACTAAATATCTGAAAGGAGATGGGTCTTGCCGTTCATATTAGTTTGGTTGATGAACATGTTCTATGTTTTCAATAATTTCCCGAGCATATTACTGCTGGTTTTTCATAATTGAAAATTGGGTTATTTTCTCTGAAAACAGGGTCAAATGTCCTGAGACATCTTCTCAAACCTGTTTATATTTTTTTTTTTAAAAAATGCTCTCAATGTATGTGAAGTGTTAATATACCACTTTATATTGTTTTGGTAAGATTGCATCCAAGTCATTATACAAAAATTAAGAAGAAATTGAACAGCCATGTAATGTATTGATATGAATTACTTGGAACTGTTGAAAAACGGTCATAAGTCTATGTCTGTTAGATGCCAGACTTTCTGTCTACATGCCCATTGACTCCTGTTTAAAGCAGGAAAGATACTTGAATCCTATTGGCTGCCGCCTTTTGCCAAGTGTATAAATAGAGATGGAGCAGCATTTAACCAGGCTTCTGTTTAAACCTTTAATAAAGAGTTGTTTCACCTACTGCCTCGTGGATGTCTCCCCGATCACCAAACATAACAGTGGCGACAAAGGTGGAATGTGCTGCCTACGTCGAAGAGCTGAGTTACTAAGGGGTAAGCCAAGTGATGATGCCTTGGTCAGATCACGTCCCCCATTCCTGCTAGTACAAAAATGATGGAGGAAGAGCGCTCCCAAGGAATCATCCCTGGGAGATTAAAAGAAGCCTAGGTAGCACAAGACATTGTTAGGCCAAAAACACAGCAAAGAACTCACCATGGCCAAACTTGGGAAACTCTTGGAATTTGAAGTTGCTCATCCAGAGAGGTGGAGCTCATATGTCATGAGAATCAAGAATTAATGCGTGTGTGCAGCCAAGAAACTTTTGAAATCGCTGAGAAATTGGTCACTCCAGCTCCACTTGAGTCCATCACTTATTCAGAACTTTAAAAAATGCTCAAAGAATACTTTGTGCTGAAGCTATCAGTCATCGCCTAGAGACCAATGACCGGGTAAGTCGGCTACCGAGTTCATAGCCACCCTTCATCAAGTGGCACAACCCTGCAAATTCAAAGACCTTGAAGAGTGACTACGAGACACCTTAGTGTGTGGGTTGAGAAGTAGCGAACTCCAACAGAAATTATTCGCTAAAGAGACTATTTCATTCCAAGGTGCCCTAAGGGAGATCATAGCCAAAGAAGCTGCTGGAGAAGTCGTCAAAGCTTTATGGTTCTCCAGGAGCACTCCCTGCATAGAGGCCGTCACCAGGAGGGTGCTGAGAGAGTCAAAGACACTGTATTGAATCAAGAGGTCGATCAGTTACAGAAGCCAGAAAGAAGGTCACAGCACCCAGTTGACAAGGCAATTCCCTTCTCTCGATGTGCAGGGTATGGAGGTTGACACAAACACGTGGAATGCAGGTTCCATTCAGCAATGTACCAGGTGTGTGGCAAACAAGGCCACAACACCACTGTCTGTCAGGGTCACCGGAGAGAAAGCCCACCAGAAGAGTTTCCCCGAAAAGGTACCCGGGCCCCGGGGCAACACAGGGTTGGCTATTGCACCAGTAGAAGGAGCATGTATAGAACAGATGCCCATCGCCCACTCAGGGAGAAGTTGCATCTCAAAGTCAAACTGCACAGAGGTCCATGCAACATGGAACTTGATATGGGGTCAGCATTATCCATAATTTCCCAGGGAACCTTCAAACACATTTTTAGTTGCAGCAGCAAAAGAGTTAAGCTCAAGCTGTCGAGCCTCATATTAACGGATTTCCAAAACTCTAGTGTAACAGTTAAAGGGGAAGCTACATTCAGGGTACAATTCAAGGGATTTGAGGGCCCACTGGAAGTTGTAGTAGTTGAGGGCAACCGCACAAGCCTCATAGGGCTTGATTGGTTTGATGCATTGGGAATCAATGTAACTGGAATTAACAGCACACAAGCAGTGGACTTAGTGGTAGTTTGCCAGGAGTTTGCTGACATTTTTAGCCCTCACTTAGGTAAATAAAAGGGTCCTCCCATAGCTCTTCAGCTTGATCCTGCCATAACTTCAATAAGAATCAAGCCACGTAGAGTACCCTTCGCCCTCAAGCAGAAGATCATTGCAGAGCTGGACAAGCTGGTGCAGCAAGGCATCCTGTAGCCAGTTGATAGCAGTCAGGGGGAAAACCCCATAGTTATGCCACTTATGGCCAAGCATAGCACATGGTCTGAACAACTAAAGAATCCTTGAGGAGGATAGTAACCGGCAACTGGCAACACAGACTGGCAGATTTTCTACTCTGCCAATGCACAATTCTGTGCACTTCCATGGGCAGAAGCCCAGCAGAATTAAGATGGGGCCAACGTTTGATCACAAAGCTGGATCACCTATATCCAGATGGAATTGCCTCACAAACATCACAGCTAAAGGAACCATGACACTTGCAAGTTGGCAACCCAGTTTGGGCACAGAACTATGGGCAAGGGGCACTGTGGGTGGTAACTGTGATTTGTAAGGTGATTGGGCCACTTTCTTATGAAGTGGTCCTGGAGAATGGTTGCATGCTACGTAGGCACATCTACCAACTGTAGCAGAGGGTAGCAAACCAGCCAACAGCTCAGGACTCTAATGACAGTCTAGCTCATGGTTCTTGTGACAGTCAAAGTCAGGAGCAGCACGATGGCAGTAAGTGCATTAGAATCTGCCAGCAACAGCAGAACTCTCCGACTGAGGAATGGGGCTCTAGCATCTGGTAAGTCAGTCTTAAATTGATACTTCAACCAATGTGCAATGCCAGCAGATGGCTCCATTTTCTGGACCAGTGGACTCTGTTCCACCTATGGACATTGTCTCAAGTCTACCAGGACAGACCTGCCATGGAGACTTGATTCTACCTGTAATGGATGGGTCCCATAGCCCCGGTCTACCTAGCTGGGCAGGCTAGCAAGCAGATCGGGGTCCTCCAGTGGTTCCGAAGCATTCGGAACAGGCAAAAAGGCCACCATTGTGTTTAAAAGATTTTGTTCAATAATTGTCATTATGAACTATCTAGGGGGCAAGGGTGTAATGTATTGATGTGAATTACTTGGAACTGTTGAAAAAACGGTCGTAAGACTGAGTCTGTTAGGTGGCAGACTTTCTGTCTACATGCTCATTAACTCCTGTTTAAAGCAGTAAAGATACTTGAATCCTATTGGCTGCCTCCTCTTGCTGAGTGTATAAATAGAAGTGGAGCAGCAGTTAACCAGACTTCTGTTTAAACCTTTAATAAAGAGTTGTTGTTTCATCTACTGCCTCATGGATGCCTCACCGATCACCAAACATAACAAGCCATTTGTCCAGAATGCTTATTTAGGGTCTCTGGCTTGAGCAGGGGGTTGGATTATAAGACCATCAAAGTCCCTTCCATCTCAGTTACTCTGTATTCTGTATCATGTATATTCAGTAAACACTAAATCGTTTTATTGGCCAGAGGGGAAATGCAACTCTATAATAGGAATCTAACAATAGAATTTATGTAGTTATACCTGTGTTGAAATGTAGTTCTTTTTTCTTTTCTTTTTAATGAACATGAGTGAGAAAGTTAAGCGGATGTTCTTCAGAATATTATATCTAACTGGAAGTATGTTGTTCTATAATTGGAATAAAGTTTCATAATTGGAATAAAGTTCTAATCAATTAAGTAATAATCTTATTTCTAGAAACTGAATCAAGTGCTATCTTCATATCTATGAATGCAACATAACAATTTTCTCTGAGGTTGAGTGATGTATATTTCACCTAAATGGCAAAAGACTAGGCAATAGTGTAAAGCTGACCAATCTTTGCACTTTTATTCTTCTGCCAAAATGTTATTATTGCCACATCCAATCTACAAGTTTCTGTTATAGGTATCCATCACAAAACATGTTATGAAATTCAGCAGATTGAGTATTAATTTGCTGGATTTCTTTCATACACTTTTAATACAATGGGAGAGTCTTAGATTTGTTCATAGCATTTCTGATGTCTATGTGTGTTATGCTGTTGTCTAGTATTAGCTCCCAACACTACATCCATTTTCAATAATTCCTTTGGAATTAAATCTTCCACAGTGATATTGCCATTTAAAAAAAAATCATGAAAAATAATTTAGTAATCCCAAAAGGAAATATAGAAGTGTAGTTTGTAGTATTTTAGGACACAAATAAAAAAAAATGTAGACTAGTATTGTATCTAATCTAAATCTAAAATGCAGAAGGCGTTTAAAAGCAAACATCAGGAGAAAGGCACAAAAATACAAAGGGAATCTACACCAAAATAACTAGAATTGAATATAGTCTATAATCTGTAATATGATTTGTGCAACTCTGCTGTGAAGGAGAGTAAAAATTAAAATCTGATAAACATGTTTTCTTTAGAAGTTGGAAGGGAAGTGGTTCTACAGAATTGTTATCATCCTAAAATTATAGTTCTTCCTCTTGGGAAATCCTCAATGGATTCCACATATATTGTATGCATATAAATATTGCCTGATGAATGAAACTCTATATACAGAGACTTACCTATTGCAGGATTACTGAAATTCACTAGGTCATCCTGATCTGTAGACAAAGAGGCTTGTTTCTTTGATAATAGCTGTATATTTTATTATTAAGTTTTTTATATCTTTAGGCTAAAATCTTCTCCAGAAAACTGACTGGAAACTGCCTCAGAGCAAGGAAGAGAACCACTTCCGATTCCATGGTTGACTATACTGAAACATTACTCCGAACCCACAGTGTTTATGCTACAGTTTCCTAACTATTTTTCCATGTTGTCCTCAGAATAATCTTTATTTCTTAAGTTCAGGGTTTTAAAACTTCATTCTTTTCAACACATAAACCCAACAATCATGAAGAAAGAAATTGATTGTTTAATGAGCTTAGACCAAAACTATTAACAAGACAATTATAGACTCATTATAGACTTGTAGGAGGATGGGAGCCAAAATTTAAAAGCCATGTAATAATTTTTCCTAATTAACATATTTTTAATAAATAAACTTTGAGCTTTATTATGCCTTTTAATAACATTTGCTAGATTAATTCTAATATTTGACTAAACAATATCAGTAAATTTGTAAAACTTCACATAAACTGAAAACCCCAAGTGTGATGCTCATAACTTTTCATTTTTAGCCAAAAATGATACATATAATATTTTGATGCACATAAAATTAAGCAGTTTTTGTTTTCTGATTAAACATTTATCTATAGAACTGATTTTGAAGATAGAACAATCAATGAATGAAATATTATCTAAACTATAAGAAGAAAATAAAGTATTTCATTTAAGAATATAAGAGGAACATATTTTGACTCTTTTTATATTTTTCTAAACTTGAACAAAATGTAACAAAGTCTTCTCAAAGAATCCTTTACTTCTCTATTTCTTAAACTGTATATAATAGGATTAAGCATGGGGGTTATTATGGTGTAGATCACAGAGAATACTTTATGAAGCCCATTCAGTTTGTTAGTGTTAGGTACTACATAGATACTCATCAGAGTCCCATAAAAAATAGTCACTACCAAGAGATGAGAAGAACAGGTGGAAAATGCCTTTTGTTTTCCTACAGTGGAAGGCATTCTCATTATGGCTACAATGATAAATGTGTAAGATGTTAGAGTTAATATAGATGGTGGGAAAGTAAATATTGAGCTTAAAACATAAAGAAAAACTTTTAAAGCATATGTGTCCCCACAAAATAATTCTATAATTGGGAAGGTGTCACAAAAGAAATGATCAATTCTATTATTGCAGAAAACTAATTTGGATATGATAATCAGTGTAATAGTGTTTGCTAAAAAACCACTAATCCAAGAATAGGCTATCAGTTTAAAACATATTCTGCCATTCATCATGGTAGTATAACGTAGTGGTTTGCATATAGCTAAATACCGGTCATACGACATTGCAGACAACAGGTAACATTCCACAGATACAAAAGAACCAAAAAAATAATGTTGCACAAAGCAAGTGGTATAAGAAATCAGTTTACTTCCAGTAAGTAAGTTGAATAGCATTTGTGGTAAGATGTTTGAACTGCTACAGGCCTCCAAGTATGAAAGGTTCCCAAGGAAAAAATACATGGGAATGTGGAGGTGTTGATCAAAAACAACCAGCAGAATAATAAATAGGTTTCCAGCCATGGTCCCCATGTAGATGAAGAAGAAGGGCCAGTAGAGAGGAATATGTAGTATCTGATTGTTTCCAAATCCAAGCAGAATGAATTCAGCATTGAATGTCTGATTTATCATTTCAGTAGTTTCCAATAACTGTTCCTGGGAAAAGTAATATGGTAAATCATATTGTCATTTTTCTCTTCGATTTAAAAATATATGAAAATGAGAAAAATCCACTTCCACTACCTCCTCAATTTCATTAATGTTATTGGTTCCACCCCTTAAAATATTTTTTCTAAAATAATAAAATATTATTTGACAGAGCCAATTAGGTACTTTTATTTTTACTGTTGTTTACTGACAGATTGGTCTCAAGTACCATTGTATTTTCTAAAAATAGAAATCAAATCTACATTTTGCATAACAAAAGGCAATAGCTATTATAAAAAAAACATGATTATTTACTATAAACACACCTGACTCAAATAAATTTAGTGTTTTAGAATTTTCTGACTTAAAGTATGACTTGATTTCTTTTTCTTTCTTTCAGCTTAGAATGTTTTCACTTACACTGCTTTGTCTTAACCTTACAATGTTCCTGGTATTTACAATTATGTCACTGTTTCTTTAATGGAATGAAGTGGAGAGAAAAAACATCCATCACAAAAAAAAATGAAATCTTTAAAATTATTTATGAATATATTAGACAAAATGAAGAAAGTTGGATATCTTTATTTCCAACTTAAAATCTCTTTCTCTATGATATGGGAGAACTTTTGATGTATTTATAAACCCGCAAAATATAAATTCATTCTCACATTTGATTTGATTTGATTTGATTATGAGACAAAGCAGAAAGAAAAGAAACTTGTACCTAAAATAGGCATGACAAATGTCTAAAATGAAAGAAATATATTCCATAAAAATGATCAAATATTATAGAAACTGAATATATTACCAAATCATCTATAAATAAAGTTGTTACCACTGATGTGATGGAAACTTGAACAGAGATTCAGTCTTAATCCTAATACCTTACTTAACTTTATATTTCTTTCATAGCTTTCTTATTAATATTATGTTTATATGAGTGTTTGGATTTTTAAAATGTAATTGTACATTGTGCTTTGTGAGGGTATTTTTATCAGAGTAGAAGAAAGTTTCCTTTACTCCCCAGGCATAGGCAGATCACTAGGGAAAAAGCAGCATGAGGAAATCTAGGGAAAGAAAGATCTTCAATTTCATAAAAAAGAAACTTAGAAGAATGTTTATTGTGCAGTGTGCACCTGTTTACAAATGATCTGTTTTATTAACACACAAAAAAAAATCTGATTGGGACATGATAGATTGTTACTGCAGTTGGGCAGAAAACCTAATCTAAGAGAAGGCTGTTATTCCAAAACATAGTCTGCTATTCATTGTGATAGAGCAGTTTGCACATAGATAAATACTTAGTATAGGATATTGAAGATAACAGGTAACACTCCACAGCTCCTAAAAAAGCAAAGAAATAATGTTATAGAAAGCAGGTGCTTAGTGAAATTATGTTGTTTCCAGTAAGAAAACTGGATACCATTGAGATATTTGAACTGTAGCAGGTCTCCAAATATGACAGATTCCCAAGGAAGACAAACATTGAAGGTGGAGGTATTAATCAAGGGCAACCAATAGAATAATAAGTAGGTCCCCTTTACATGGTCCCCTTATAGAGGAGGAAGGAGAGGAATATGTAATATCAAATTCAAGCAGAATGAATTCAGCATTGAATATCTGATTTATTAATTCTGCAGTTTCAGATAATTGTCCCTGGGAAAAATAATAGTGTAAAATCATATTGAACTTTTTCTCTTTAACTTCAAAGTATATGATAATGGGAAAAAAGACACCTGGAGAAGTTTGACTTCAATTTCTTCAAACATTCTAATTCCACAATTTCAAATTTCATTTCTGGCATTTTTGTTCTAAAATCAGAATTCTAACCTAGTGAACTAGAATTATATAAAAATGGAACTTTAAAGTTGTTTAAATTTGACTTTAATACTTCCAGAATAGAACGCTCCCAGTGGGTCCCCAGGCCAATTTGCATCCTTATATGGAAGAATTCTGCACTTTTTTATTCATTCAATTAAAGATAAAATGATACATTATCTCTCTCTATAAATGCAAGTAGTCTTGATTAAATTAAATTAAAATTATAGTCATAAGTGATGGTCATTAAGTAGGTGACTACTGTATTTTCCGGCGTATAAGACGACTGGGGTATAAGACGACCCCCAACTTTTGAGAAGATTTTCATGGTTTAGAAAGTCATCTTATACGCTGGAAAATATGGGTACTTTAACTTTCTAATAAAAGTAATGTAAGTCCTAAACACATTAGCATTTCATTATATTGCATTGCTTGTTCCTGATCTGCTGAAGACAAATGTAGCTGGGTAACATCCCATAATAATCATGGGGGTGAACTTGTGAAGCTTTGCAGTATATGAGGAACTGCCTCACCCAATGGGACTAGTTGGCCCCTCTCGTTCTAGTGGAAGCAGCCTAATTTGGATCCTACTGGCCAAAGAATTTCTGCTGCTGGGCTCCAGGAGAAGAGTTCTGCTGTGCCCCCCCCAGAATATTCTACCATCAGAGGTGAGATTTTCCCCCCCCCAGACATACAAGAACACAATCCTGGCCTTCTGGCAGAGCCAGAAGTTCCAGTTGACAGTTAACCCAAAGGTGGGCCGGGGCCCCTAGTGCTGGATGCTCTGCAGCGGGGATGGCCCGATGGGACTGTTGGAGGTCAAGACTGCCGTTTTGTAGAGGCCACTGAACACCCCCATGTTACTGATGCTGTTGATCTCCATGCTGGAGTTGAGGTCATTTTTCCAGGTGCCGATCAGGGAGGACTAAAGGAGAGCGGGAGGGGGAGAAAAGCAGGTCGCTGTGCTAGCCAAGCCCAGCTGTCCAACAGGTAGAGACTTTGGATCCATTTTCTCTGTGAGATATGAAAACACCCTCTAATCCCACTTGTCTGACCCCCAAGGCTGCCCACACTGGGTGGGGCTGGCAAAGGCGGTGAATCTTAAAGTCTGCCAGTGGAGGCGCCTGCCAGACCGCTTCTGGGATGACACCCCATGGACGGATCATTCTGTCATCTGCACAGCGAGAGCACCAGCCACGACAGCAAGTTGCCAAAGAAGCAGCCAAGCACGGAGGAGGAAACGCTGAGCGTCCGTCTGTCAGGGTCCCAGGGCTTCTGGTGTTCAGTGCGATGGCACCTGGTGTGGTCAACCCCAAGGAAGGGGCACCCTCTGTACACTCCGCTGGCTCCCACCAGCTGCTCCTGCCACCCACCCAAGCAAGGCTGGTGGCGGGGGGGGTTTCTCTGGGGGATGAAAAGCCCTGCTTGCACCGCCTCCCTCCCTTGCCCTAGATTGGGAGGGGCAGGATCCCTGCCCAAGGGGCAGATGCTTCTAAGAAATCTCTGGCCTTCTGTGAGCACTGAGCAGCACTTTGGCAGCAAGGGGGGTGGGGGCAATTCTTCTCAGGAAGCCCCCACCGCTGCCCCAACATGGGCATTCTTACTCGGCTGGCTCTCTGCCAGTGCTCCTCTCCCGCCATTAGTCCTCCAACGCTCCAACCTCACCCCTTCCTCCCAGCTGTTTCTCGGAGGGACACTTTTTTAGGGCTATGGCTGCGTGGGACACTTAAAATCTCATCTGGACAGCCAATCCCCACACCAAGGGGTGAGGAGCATGGGTCGCAGGATATGGGGGAGCTTGCTTTGATGTACCATATTTTCCGGCGTATAAGATGACTGGGCGTATAAGACGACCTCCAACTTTTCAGAAGATTTTCATGGTTTAGAAAATCATCTTATACACCGGAAAATATGGTATGTATTGAAACCCAATTTTCTGACCTTTTTTGTAGTGGTTATTAAACCAAATTGTTTTCCCAATTGATTTTTTTGCCAGTAATCAGAAATAAAAAATGAAAAGTAACCAAAATTGTCCAAAATCACTGTTATGTGACCAAAAGATATTGTAAATGGTCATAAATATGAGCCATTTGTCAAGCAATTCAAATGTGAGCATGTGACCATGAGGAAGTGGTGGCAATCAGAATTTTGAAAATGGGTCATAAGTAGCTTGGGGGAGCTCCATCATAATTCAAACAGTTGGGTCCTTGTTAAGTGGGGAATACCTGTAAGTATTTTATGTCCTGAAGGCAAGATTTCTACCATAACAGGTATATCTGAAACAAGACATGGAAAGTTCTCATTATTAGGGATAAAGCAAAACATAACTAAAGGCAAACACAAAAACACACATCTTGTATTGAGGAAAAATCAATGAATATTCATAGAGGTAAATATGATATACAGTACTAGTTTGATTGCAACGTGTGTAGGTTTATTTGTTTTATTTATTTTATTTGTTAAATTACTACTGCATATTTCTGCAGGAGTTAAACATAGCCTTCTGTCCATTTTTCCCCACTGCAGAATTCCTGTGAGATAGGGAAAACTGAAAGATCAAGAGTATGAAAGAAACATTAGTTTCATAACTATGAGTGGTCTTAAACCAGTATCTTCCCTGTTCCTAGCATATTCCCTATCCATTATAGTTTACTGACTCTATTTTAACCATCATCATCATCATCAACAACAACATCCAAGATATTGTAATGGAGTTTGGCTTGGACAAATGTGCCACACTTACTATCAAACAAGGAAAAATAGTGAAAACTGAAGGAATCAAGATATCCCACGAAAATAACATTAAAAGTCTGGATGAGGAAGAGTACTACAAATACTTAGGTATCCTTCAAGCTGACAACATCAAGCACACTGAAGTCAAGAAAAAGATTAGAGGTGAATACATCAAGAGAGTGAAGAAGATCTTAAAGTCCAAACTCAATGGTGGAAATACCATAAAGGCAATCAACATCTGGGCAATTCCAGTCATTAGGTACACAGCTGGAATAGTGGACTGGACTCAAGCAGAACTAAAAGCAATGGATAGGCAAACCAGAAAAATAATGACAATGAATCATGCCCTTCATCCACGCAGTGACATTGATAGACTTTATCTACCAAGGCAAATAGGTGGGCGTGGAATGCTACAAGTACATCAGATGGTTGAAGAAGAAAAAATGGCTTTGGAAGAATATCTGAAGAACAATGATGAAGATGCACTGAAATTAGTATATCAGGAAGGCTTACTAACTACTGGAGAGACCAAACTGGCCTACAAGAAAGACCAAATGAAGAACAGAATAGAGGCATGGGAAGATAAAGCACTACATGGCCAATACATGAAAAAAATAGCTGGGAAAGCAGATAATAATAAAACCTGGCAATGGCTAAGAGCAGGAAAATTGAAGAAAGAGACCGAGGGACTAATTCTGGCTGCATAAGACCAAGCCTTAAGGACAAATGCATACAAAGTCAAAATTGAGAAGACAGCAACAGACAGTAAGTGCCGCCTATGCAAAGAAGCTGAAGAAACAGTGGACCACTTGGTAAGCTGTTGCAAGAAGATTGCACAGACTGATTACAAGCAGCGGCATGACAAAGTAGCAACAATGGTGCATTGGAAGATCTGCAAAAAATATCATTTGCCTGTAAGCAAAAACTGGTGGGATCATAAAATAGAGAAAGTCATAGAAAATGATAAAATTAAACTGCTCTGGGACTTCAGAATTCAAACAGACAAGCACCTGCAACATAACACCCCAGACTTAACAATTGTTGATAAGAAAGACAAAAAAGTCTGGATAGTGGACGTGGCAGTGCCTGGAGACAGTAGAATAGACGAGAAAGAACTGGAGAAGATAACAAAATACAAAGACCTACAAATAGAAATAGAAAGACTGTGGCAAAAGCAAGCAAGGTTAGTACCAATAGTCATAGGCACCTTGGGTGCAATCCCAAAACAACTGGAGCACCACTTGAACACCATTGGCATTGACAAATTTGCTATTAGTCAATTGCAAAAGGCGGCCTTACTAGGAACTGCTTCCATCCTGCGACGATACCTGTAATACCATGAAACATCCACATCT